TGTGTTTTTACAGATGAGTGAAAAAGGCGAGCTGTATAAAAAATTCAGATTGAAAGTCGACAATGAAGCATTTGGCTGTGTTTTAAAAGATTTTATGAAGTTGGTAAATTTTTTGTAATTTTTATATTCCCGCTTTAACGGAATCTTATACGGGATTCTAACAAGAGTCCGTTTCAAATCCTTCTAATTGAGGTGAGTGGTTACAAGGATTTAACTGAGTACATACATACATATAGATGAACACTAGAAGACCCGGCAGACGTTGTCCTGTCGAATCGTTGGCTCGTCTGATATTAACTGCAGGTTTTTTTATACATTTTTGAAATTGTTATAAACAATCAGTAGACGACGTTTTTTATATATTTATGTTTTTATAATTTACATTATTGTACATAACATAACTAACATCCGCACTCAGAAACATTCATTAAATCAGCTTTAACGGGCACTTAACTAATGATCGTTAAATCTGTCAATTAATGTTTCCTCAGTCTCAGAGTCAAATGATAAGGGCACTTCGTAGTGTAGTCCACACTGCAATCAACTGCTCCCCATACTTTTCTACTTTCGGACTTTCAAAGGACAGTCCTTTTTCTCATATTGTTCTTTGACTTTATTTATTGTTCTAAAAGTCTATTTTGTTCTTTATTTAAAAACTTTTCCTTTGAAAGCACTTTTCTTTGATGCGATGTTAGAAACTAATGCATTTCATATATTACGGCCCTTCTTCTTTATTGGCGCTGTAACTGCCTAAGCGATTTTGGCCGAGCCCAAAACAGCACGCCAGTCATTTCTCTTCTGTGCTAACTGACGCCAATTGGAAATGCCAAGTGAAGCCAAGTCCTTCTCCACCTGGCCTTTCGAACGCAGAGGAGGCCTTCCTCTTCCTCTGTTACCAGCATCGCGGCCCGCGTTGAATATTTTCAGAGCACGAGCGTTTCTGTCCATTCGAACGACATGGCCAAGCCAGCGGAGCCGCTGAATTTTAATTCGCTGCACTGTGTCTATATCGTTGTAAAGCTCATACAGCTCATCGTTAAATCGTCTGCGATATTCGCCATCACCAACGCGTAAAGGTCCGTAAATCTTTCGCAGAATCTTTCTCTCGAAAACTCCAAGAGCCGCCTCATCAGATGCTTTCATTGTCCATGCCTCCGCGCCATACACCAGCACAGGCATGATGAGTGACTTATAGAGTGTTATCTTTGTACGACGAGAGGGGACTTTACTTCTCAATTGCCTACTCAGCCCAAAGTAGCACTTGTTGGCAAGAGTGAGTCTCCGTTGGATTTCAAGGCTGACATTATTATTGGTGTTAATGCTGGTTCCCAAATAAACGAAGTCGTCTACTTTTTCAAACTTGTAACTCTCAACAGTGACGTGGGTGCAATGACGCGTATGCTCTGACTGTTTGTGTGATGACAGGAGATACTTCGTTTTGTCCTCGTTTACCACCAGACCCATTCGCTTTGCTTCTCTATCCAATCCCGAGAAGGCAGAATAGACGTAGCCCTTGTTTTTACCGATAATATCGATGTCATCGGCATACGCCAGCAATTGTACGCTCTTGTAAAGTATTGTGCGTGAGCGGTTCAGTTCTGCGGCTCTTATTATCTTCTCCAACATCAGATTAAAGAAATCAGATGAAAGGGAGTCCCCTTGTCTGAAATCTCAGAGTATATATTATTAGAAATCATGTCTGCTGGTGAAAATATTTTAGTTGGCTGTGTCTATAGACCTAACAAAACAATTGATATCAATCCCCTCCTGATCTGTCTGGAAGATTTGACACTGAGCTACAATAACGTAGTAGTAGCCGGGGATTTCAACAGTGATATTCTAAAAGAGCGGAAGTTTATCATCAGTGTGGAGAGTCTTGGTCTTTTCTCAGTCAATAATAAATACCCAACTCACTTTACTAAAACAAATCAATCTTTATTGGATTTATTTCTGGTAAACAACCAAAGTAAAATTAAGCTCTATGACCAAATATCAGCCTCCACTTTTTCTAAGCATGATATGATATTTCTTATTTATGACCAGGGAACGGATTTTTAGGACCTAAAAACCTATAAAAAAGGCAAAATAAAGTAACGAAATAGGCTGGAAAAGGCAAAATAAAATAGAGAAAAAGGCAGGAAAAGGCACTAGGTATTGCAAAAAAGGCAAAAAAAGGCAAAATAAAATAGCGAAAAAGGCAGGAAAAGGCAAAAAAAAAGGTATTGCAAAAAAAGCAAAATAAGACACTAAAAAAAGACAGAAAATACGAAGAACAATCAAAAAATATATTTTTTTTAGAAATGTTTATATTACAAGTAAAAAGAGAAAAACTATGAACTAGTTTCATTATATGAAAAATTTGTACTTTGAATCTTTGACTATTTTATCCTATCGAGTTTCTAACTCATAAAACTTTAATCTGTATAGTTGTAGTAACATTGAACCACAAGATGCATTTTGAAGTTTTCTGGCAGCATTTTCATTAGATTTTCGCGAAGAAAAGCCTTGAATGTACTAAATGTGCGCTCGACGTAAGGTGATACAAGTGGAGCCCAATTTAAATATGGAACATTTGAAACGTTCATATTATCACGATTAAGGGCGTTTTCCGCGCCCTTTACAATTTTATCCACACCTCTTATTGTCTCTAAGCCTACGTTAGCTGAGAAAACGTATTTGAATTTTTCCAACACCAGTTTGGCAAGAGGTCCCTGCGCTTCTATAAGCCGCATGGGCATGTGTATATTTTTTAATCTTAAAAAAAAAATTGTAAATGCTATAATCACTTTTTTAAAGGTAGAAAAGGCAAAAAAAGGAAAATAATCTATTGAGCGATGAACAATCGGGGTTTAGACCTAGAAGAGGTTGTGTTACTGCACTAATTAGAGTCACCGAAGACATTCGTGCTGCACTCGAGGACAATAAAATTACTTTTTTAACCTTATTGGAGCATTCAAAGGCTTTTGATATGGTGAACCACAAGAAAGCAGGCTGTTAACACCGACATTCTATCTGAATTTTTACCTTGAAAGAAAGGCGTACCTCAGGGTTCAATCCTAGGGCCATTGTTATTTTCAATTTATATCAACGATTTACCGGACATTTTAGACACCTGTAAGATACATATGTACGCAGATGATGTTCAACTTTATGCTAGCTGCTTACCGTCAGAAACTGAGTCTTTGCTAGATAAAATTAATAACGATCTTGACCATATTCATACTTGGGCTTCTAAAAATGGCTTGCTAATCAATCCAAAAAAACCTGTATGCCTGGTAGTATACAAAAAAATCTTAGACACAGGACAAATGACGAAACTCAGCATTGACCGATCTGAAATTTCTTTTACTGAAACATCTAAAAATTTAGGCATTATCTTTAACAAAACTCTCTCGTGGAATGATCACATTAACCAAAGGTGTGGTGTTGTTTACGGTATATTAAGATCGCTGTGGTCAACGCAATTTCTGGTTCCACTTAAAACTAGAATGATTTTGGCGAAAACATATACATATATTGCCTACTTTGTTGTATGGATGTGGGCTATTTGCCAGCTCTGATTATTCAAGTCTAAATAAGCTCAGGCGTCTTTATAATAATGTTACTAGATATGTTTTTGGATTGAAGAGAAGAGATCATGTGTCCGAGTATGCTAAACGTCTCTTTGGATTAACTTTCGAAAACCTCTTAAAACACAGAGTGATTACACTTCTGCATAAAATTTTATTTACGTCGGAACCATCTTATCTTCATAAAGAAATTACCTTGGTTAGGTCAATGCGCGTGAGAAAAATAGTCCCACCCAGATATTCGCTGCTGGTGTCTAGTCGTCAGTTTTTCATAAATGCAATAAGTCTTTGGAATTCATTGCCCTACATCTTCACAATACAAATAGTATAAAATAATATGTTCAAATTTTTAACCACCAAATTGTTTTAAATAGAATTGTTTTAAATTCTTTTAATGTAATGTAATTTATTAGTCCTATATGTATTTTAATTGTTAATGTTATTTTTTCTTTATTATACACACATTTATACATTTATTTGCTTGCAATTAATTTATAATTTAATTTGAATTTCAACTCATCAACTTCAGAAGCAAAACTCGTTGTTTGGTACGTTAATGAAGTAATTATAATCTCGTGTACTAAAGTTGAATAATAAATAAACTAAACTAAACTAAACTTAAATTCCCCGCAAATCGGGAAATTCCCATGAGCTGGCTTCCCTGGTCTGTATAAAAATGTACCTTTTGAGCAGGCCTGGGTGACTCCGACTGCGCAGTTCCCTCGGGGTAGCGTCGCGTGTTCGTATACACGAAGTGGAAGGCGAAAATGTAGTGTAATTTAGGGTATGGAATTAACCGATTCATTTTGAATTGGTAATTAATTTTCGCTTAATTTTCACCTCCAACTTCGTGTATACGAACCCGCGACGCTACCCCGAGGGTACTGCGTAGTCGGAGTCGCCCATGCCTGCTTTTGAAGTTTATTATGGGGAGAAATGGAAAACCTTCGGTTTTTAACTGACTTCCAAAAAAGGAATAGGTTATCAGTTCATCGGAATATTTTTTTATTTTTATAATATTTTTTTATGTATGTTACCTCATAACTTTGAACCACGTCAACCGATTTCGATAATTCTTTTTACATCGGAAAGGTAGTGTCTCAGAGGTGGTCCCGTACTAATCTGGTTAAGACCCGCTCAGTGGATCATGAGATATATATGTGGTAACCTTTTGTTATTTCGTCGCCGTTCAATTGCCTTACTCAGCGCGTGAATTTGAAAAGCAACACTGAACAATAACTTTTTTGTAATCTGACATTCACTTTGTAACATATTCTTAGTATATAAGTGAAAAATAAGCGAAATAAATTCCTTCTTCCTGAAACATCTAAAAGCTACGCACGTGTTAAACCACAATTGGTGACCCCGAACAGGTAAACATTTTACGCACCATCTAAAATCTGAAGGAGTGCCATCATCCAGAAAATAGCCATGCCGCTGAACGACAGCCATTTAGTTTCTGCGGGTCATAACTCCGATGCCAACCTCTTAGACATTTCGGGTTCAACTCCACGTTTGCCTTTACCAACGATGTCAGAGGATAACATCGAGGCGTATTTTTATTCATTAGACTTTTGGTTCGATGCATCTTCCGTAACTAGCGATACACGGAAGTTCAATATCGTTCTTGCTAGTGTTTCACCAACTAAGTTAATGGAACTCAGACCAACTATAGAGGCCGCACCGATAAGCGGCAAATACAATTATATACAGCAGAAACTGATAGAGCATTTTTCGGACAGTCAGCAGCGCCGGCTACAACGAGTGTTAAAAGACATGAAGCTGGGCGACCGCCGTCCTAGTGAACTTTTCAATGACATGAAACGCGCAGCCGGAACAACACTTAGTGATAGCATTTTACATGACTTGTGGGTCAGTAGGCTACCACCATACGTACAGGCGGCAATTATTGCTACGAACGTTGCCATCGTTGAGAAATTAAAAATTGCTGATTCTATTACTGAAACCATTGGAATGCGCGACAGTCAAGTGCATGAAGTTTCGGCAGTTAGTGAGGTTTCAGATCTAAAGCTCGAAATAGCTGAGCTAACTAAGCAAGTGCACAAACTTTTAAATGATAAAGAGCGTCGTGTTCATTCGCGTTCCCGATCAAGGTGGCGTGGAGGTCGCCCCTTCATGGCGAAATCGAACAGTAACTTGTGTTGGTACCACGTGAAATTCGGCGAAAAGGCGACTAAGTGTCGAGAGCCCTGCAGTTTTTCATCATCAAAGAAATCCACTTAGGATTGCTCGGCTGCTCGGGTTTCAGATCTCTGCAAACAGCCTGAAGCCCGTAAAACATACCGATTGCGTATATATGACACGTCAGCAAAAATTTATTTTTTAATAGATACCGGTGCAGATGTCTCCGTTATACCAAAATGCGCTAACGCAGTCCGAGCTAAATCGAACGGTATGCAATTGTTTGCCGCAAATGGCTCGCCCATTCCCGTATTCGGTGAAGCCATTCTTAAGCTAAATCTTAATTTACGCCGCGAGTTCGTATGGAACTTTCTTATCGCTGACGTTTCCCAAGCGATTATCGGTGCCGATTTCCTGTCTAATTTTGAACTTTTAGTCGACCTGAAAGAAAAGTGCCTGCGTGATCGCAACACAGATCTGCGATCGATTTGTGAGATTGACAAAACGTGCACATGTAGCGCTAAAACGTTCGATGCCAACTTTAGTTTTTCTAATATCCTGAACGAGTTTAGCGAAATTACGCGTCCATGTCCACTTTCTTCAACAGTGAAATCATCCATAACGCACCGAATAGTCACCACCGGCCAACCAGTCTTTGCACGACCACGTCGCCTTTCGCCTGAGAAGTTAGAAGCAGCAAAAGCCGAATTCGATTCGCTAATTAAACTAGGCATTTTCCGGCCATCTAGTAGCCATTGGGCCAGCCCGTTACACATGGTGCGCAAGTCCGATGGTTCATGGAGGCCGTGTGATGATTATAGGGCTTTGAATGCCATTACAACTCCGGATCGGTACCCGTTGCCTTTTCTCAACGATTTTTCGAATATTTTGGCTGGAAAATGCATATTTTCTAAAATCGATTTAAAGAAAGCTTTTCACCAAGTACCCATACACGAAGAGGATATCTGCAAGACGGCATTAACGACCCCCTTCGGTCTCTTTGAATTTACCCACATGACCTTTTGATTGCGGAATGCCGCTCAAACATTCCAAAGGTTCATTAATGAGGTTCTTCGAGGCCTGCACTTTATATTCGTTTACCTAGACGATGTCTGCATCGCATCTACATCTGAGGAAGAGCACCAAAACCACCTCCGTAAAGTTTTCCAGCGATTGAAAGCCAACAACCTTACAATCAACGTCGGCAAATCCGAGTTCGGTGTCACAGAGCTACGTTTCCTGGGTCAATCCATTACGAAGGATGGCATACGACCACTTCCTGAGCGAGTTGAGGCGTTGCTGAAATTTAAGCAGCCGGCCATTGCTAAGGACTTGAAGCGATTCTTGGCGATGCTTAATTTTTACCGCCGTTTTTTGCCGAACGCGCTGACAACACAAGGGGCGCTTTTTGATATGGTTGCCGGGAATCATCGGAACGACACTACCCCACTTACATGGACTAAAGAAACGACTTACTGCTTCAACGCATGCAAACAACAACTGGCAAATTGTGCGTTACTCGCCCATCCTTTGCATGACGCCGAGCTATCAGTATGGGTGGACGCCTCGAATTTCGCTGCAGGTGCTGTATTGAACCAGGTGGTCAATGGATCGCTTCAACCACTAGGGTTCTTCTCCCGTAAATTTACATCTCCCGAAAGTCGCTAACTGCTGTATATCTAGCGCTGCGACATTTTCGATACATGGTAGAAGGCCGATGCTGCCACGTTTATACTGACCATAAGCCGCTGATCTACGCCTTTCAACAAAATCTTGATAAAACTTCCAGTCGCCAAGTACGTCAGCTCGATTATATAGCGCAAATAACTACCGACATTCGCCATGTTTGTGGCGAAGGTAATGTGGCAGCTGATTTGCTTTCACGCATACAATCGCTCGCGGCTGAGCCCATAAACTATGATCATTTGGCCGAAGACCAGCAGAAAGATGAAGAATTGCAATCCCTATTAAATGGTAACGTTAAACATTCACTTAATATAAAAAGTTTTGTTCTTCCCTACAGTTCTAAGAGCTTATACTGTGACAGCTCTACCGGGACTATTCGACCATTTGTAACCACCAAATTTAGGCAACCATTCTTACGAGTGACTCACGATTTGTCGCACCCTGGCATTAGAGGGACAGCACGATAGATGACAGAGCGGTTCGTTTGGCCTGGAATCCAGCGCGACAGCAAGGAATATGCTCGCACTTGTCTGAAATGCCAGCAAAACAAGACAATCCGACACAATAAAATGGCACTACAGCGTCGACAATGCCCAAGCAAACGTTTCGCGCACTTACACATCGACCTGGTCGGACCGTTTCCGCCATCAGAAGGAAATCGTTATTGCCTCACGATAGTTGCCCGGTTTACACGATGGCCGGAAGCGTTACCTATACCCGACATGACCGCGCCAACTGTTTCCAAGGCACTGTTGAATGGGTGGATATCGCGGTTCGGCGTACCAGTAAGCATAACTTCTGATTTAGGTCGGCAGTTCGAAAGTGCCCTATTTGAACAGTTACTTCAGTTGCTAGGCACTCGCCATTTCCGTACAACGCCTTACCACCCACAAACAAATGGCCTCGTTGAAAGGTGGCATCGTACATTAAAAGCGGCTATACTATGCCACAACGCAAGCCAATGGACAACGTACTTACCACTCATCTTGTTAGGTCTGCGTTCCACGTATAAAATCGATTTGGGAGCAGCACCAGCAGATTTGGTGTATGGAGAAAGTCTGCGATTACCTTCGGAATACTTTACGGATGCCACATCGACAGTCAGCGTGACTGAAATGGTTAGGCAACTTCGTCAATGTATGAGGGACTTGCGACCTGTCGACACGGCCTGGCACTCAAAAGGAAAAGTGTTCGTCCATACCGGGCTAAAGAGCTGCGAACAGGTTTTCGTTCGAGACGACTTAATTCGACCATCACTTTCTCCTCCCTACAAAGGCCCGTATAAAGTAATTCGTAGATTGCCAAAATATTTCGTAGTAGACATAAACAACAACGAGGTTAAAGTTTCAATCGACCGCTTGAAGCCCGCTTTCATCGCCACCCCGTAAGGTGTCTAGAAGGGGAGTATTGTGGTAACCTTTTGTTATTTCGTCGCCGTTCAATTGCCTTACTCAGCGCGTGAATTTAAAAAGCAACACTGAACAATAACTATTTTGTAATCTGACATTCTCTTTGTAACATATTCTTAGTATATAAGTGAAAAATAAGCGAAATAAATTCCTTCTTCCTGAAACATCTAAAAGCTACGCACGTGTTAATCCACATATATATGTATTTTTTTTTGTATGAGAGTTGAAGTCGGTTTTTTTTGCTAAGAATTAGTTGTTATACAACGTTTCAGAAATATAAACAGAAACATATGTACGTGCGACTGTAACGTTACGACCAAAATGGTGACCATAGGGTCTTAATTGTGTCTCACTTTAATTGGTTCTAAGTAATTAAAAAAATATATATCTTTTACGTACTTAATGTTGTTATAAAATGTTAGGTTATTTCTGAGCTCGCGGTCCCTTGGGCCGGGACCCTCTCGGATCGGGGCCCGTGGCATTTTGCCAACAATGCCACCCTATAGTTACGCCTCTGCTAGCTGCTTAAATCGAGGAGTTATAACGAAAATTCTCATAACTGAACAATCAGTTGAATGGGAGATATATGTTATAGTGAGCCGATCTTTATTTATTTCACTATAAATATTCTGTTAATAATTAGTGAAAATGGTGAGAATTTTCATGTGTAGCTGCATAAATGGAGAAGTTATGGCAAAAAATCTCATATCTGAACAATCAGTTGTATGGGAGCTATATGTTATAGTGCTCCGATTCTTCCGGTTCCGACAAATGATTAATATAATATAAAAATACAAGCACCTACCAAATTTCATCCGGATATCTCGAATACTGAGAGACTATATTGTATACCAATGCTGGGCACACCAACACAGTCTCATTTTGTCGTGGTATTAGTACGTCGCGCTCAGTTATGGTTGCCACATTTTTTATACATGTACTAAAGGTGGTGTATTTCGTGCATGGGCCTTTTTGCCTATTTGGCTTATACCTTCACTATAATTAATTTTGGAAGTTTTTAGTAACTAATACTATTAATTTATAGAACCTTTTACATACGAACAATGTAGTACTTTAAATTAGTAAAACTCATTTGTATAATACCTGGGTACCGTTTTATTAGAATCAATTCTTTGAAATGCTGGCCGACCAGATGGTTACGGTGTTTAGATTTTATTATTTTCATATGAGTAGGTATTTATTCCCAAAATTGAGTATAGCTTATAACGTTACCTTGGTGAAATCTGCTAGGAGACTGAATAGAAATTCGCTGCTTTGCTTCTGTATACGTATACGAACTGCGGCGCTGGCGTTGCTCGCGAGCAAAAATTGCCCACCTATGTTGTATACAAACAGACGGACAAACAGACGGACAGACAGACAGACAGACAGACACACAGACAGACAGACGGACAGACGGACATGGCTAAATCGACTCAGCTCAACGTTCTGATCATTTAAGTATACATTTTAATGGGCCTATCTTTTCTTATTCTGGTACTTAACAAGGTTATTTTGGTATTTTAACCCACTGAATCCGTGAATAAAAAGGGCTGCGGATAGTACACATGTTACTTCCATTTTTTTTTTTAATTATACTTGCACTTATTAGTTGGATCTGCTTATTTTACATCGATTAAGCCTAACAACAAGTTTAAAAATCTCACGTCTAATTCACAATAATATAGCTCAAACCCTGGGGTTGAGCCCTGTTGGTTTAACGTCGCTCAACGAAAGGCTGGTAGCTCTCTTCTTCGCTGGCGTGTTATATTTGTTGTGTTGCACAGGCCACTTGCCAGTGGATTTGGGTGGTTATGCAGTTTTAGTTTATATTTTTCTCTGCTACTCTCGATTACAGATTTAACCATCGGTATACCAAGGTCCCTATGTATATGTTCATTGCGGACATATCACGGTGCTCCCGTTAAGGCACTTAGCGTTTAGGTTGGAATCTTTGGATCCTGTCAATGTTGGTTGCACAGGTCGTACCCCACAGTTGAATACCATACATCCATATAGGCTTAATGACTGTATTATATACAAGTACTTTATAATCTAGTTTCAGTTTTGATTTACTGTTTAGAAGCCAGTTCACGCTAGCTAACTTTAGCTTCATTTGTGTAATCTTGGTTGATATGTGTTTGCGCAAAGTTAGTCTCCTATCCAAATGTATTCCTAGAAATGTCACCTCATTGGCTTGTGGAATATGGACATTATTTAATTTGATTGGGGGGCATACTTGCGGTCTGAGTGAAAATGTTGCATGTTTACACTTCTGTTCGTTGACTTTTATGCGCCAGTTTGCCAGCCATTCTTCTATGCGTAGTAAATGTTCCTCTAGTACTTTTGAAGCTCCGTTGGGACATTTATTACAACTTACTAAGGCGGTATCATCAGCGAAGGTGGATGTGAGTATATCCTTGCTAGTTGGAATATCTGAAGTGTAGATGATATACAGCATAGGCCCGAGTACACTAACTTGAGGAACGCCAGCCGTTATCGACATGTCTTCTGAAGTAAAATTAGATACTTGAACAGCAAATTTTCTGTTAGTTATGTATGATTCAAATATTTTGTGGAATTCCGGCGGCAACAATTTTTTAGCTTTTTATATATAAGACCGTCGTGCCACACTTTGCCGAAGGCTTGTGCCACATCGAGAAAAATTGCAGAGCAGTACTCTATGAGCTCAAATGCCCTTCTGATTTCATTTGTAATTCGATTAACTTGTTCAATTGTACCATGTTTTTCTCGGAAGCCAAATTGGTGTGCTGGTATTAAATTGCGTTCATGGAGAAAGGGAGATATCATTGATAGGAGTACTTTTTCGAATACTTTGGAAAGACAGGGCAGTAAGCTTATTGGTCTGTATGAGGACGGATGTGTTGCGTCTTTTCCAGGTTCGGCAATCATGATTATCTTCGACCTTTTCCATGATTTCCGAAAGTAACCGAATGTGAGGATAGCGTTGAAAAGGTCAGAAAGAATTGCTAGTGCAACATTCGGTAGCTCTATTAGCATTTTCGGAGTTATAAAATCAGCACCCGGTGATTTCTTTGGATTAAGCTGCTTTACTATAGCAATTACTTTTAAAGAGTTCGTCTTGCTAGGTGTGTATAGCTCATTTGTATTTTTGGTTAGCCGCGTCAGCCTGAAGTTGTTCGTTGGACAGTTTGGCTGAAACACATTCTTTAAATGGTGTGAAAAACACTCGGCTCTATCCTGCTCACTACGACCCCAGGTACCACTTTGGCATTTCCGTAGCCACTGGTGGTTTGAAGTATTTTAGCAATTTCCATAGAGAGTATCTTTCAGTATAATTCGGGGAAAGTTGCTTAATGTACCTTTGCAATTTGCGATCCTCTGCACGTTTGAGTGCTTGTTTCAGTTTTCTACCGGCAGCTTTATACAGTAGCTGTGAGGTTGGTGAGCGATGGCTCTGCCACTGTCTTCTTAGGCGCCGCTTTTCTGCCACAAGTTTTTCTATTTCGGTGTTTGTAACTGATGTATGCGTAGGTGGTACTTGGACTTGATTTGGTGTTGCCAGGCCAGCCGCTGAAGTAAAGGTTTCTTTAATATGTTCAACAAGGGAGTCTATATCACCCTCGCAGTAAAGTGCAGCGTTTAATTTAAGGTGACTACTGATGTACTTTTTCTATTTAAGCCAGTTGGTCTTATTTGAAATTAGGCGAGGATCAATCTCGATGTTTTTGGTCTGTTCATATAGTTTTATTAATATAGGGGAGTGATCGGATGACAGTTCAGGTACAGTTTCTGCTGTTATGTTATTTCTGTATATGTTTCTTGTAATTGCGAAGTCTATTAGGTCTGGTATCTTCTTTATATCGGTGGGCCAGTAAGGATGTTTACCAGGAGATGGACCTCTAGTCTATTGTGCCTGTTTATAATGGTATTGTATAACTACCGCCCTTTTGCGTTAGTAAGGCGTGATCCCCAGTACGTATGCTTTGCGTTGAAGTCGCCTCCTGCCAGGAATCTATTACCCAGACTATCAAAGAAATCTTTAAAGTCATTTTCAGAAATTAAAAATCAAGGTGGGCAATAAATAGCGGATAGATTCAAGTCTCGGTCGCGGTTTCGTAAGCATATGGTAGTTGCTTGCAGACAGGCTGTTGCTTTTGAGTCTACAATATTGTGCTTTAGGCGATTTCTAATCAGCACCGCTGTGCCTCCATGAGCTTTACCACCTGGGTGGTTTGTGGCATAGAATTTGTATCCAGGTATGGAGAAATTATATTTATTTGTTAAATGTGTCTCGGACAGTAGCATAACATCTATTTAATGTTCAGTGAGAAATTGACTGAGTTATAATCTACGCTGGTTTACACCGTTCGAATTCCATAAGCAAATTTTCAATTCACTCATTTTTGAGCCTTTATGAGGTCTTGAATCATATTTTGCATAGTAGACATGAATTGAGTCATACGATGGGTAAGACGCAATATCATTCCTTCTATGCCACAAGTAGGGGGGTTCGGCTGCATTTGCTCAGTAATGTTCCTTTGAATATTTGCAAATGTTTCTTGATTGGAGTTTGATGCCGCCATGCTTGGCTGCGTTTGTAGTTTTAATGCGTCGGCAAAAGAAACGTTGGGAACTCGCTGCGCGTTGGCAAAAAAAGGCTCCTGGTGTAGTGGTTGATGGTGTGAGGTGTTGGTATGTATAAGAGCTAGTTGGAGTGGTGGAGGAGCGTACGGCAGTGTTGCACTGATCCATGCGAGACTTTAAGTCTTTGTATACAGGGCATCCCCTATAATTGGCGATGTGGTTACCTCCGCAATTACTGCATTTCTTACAGCCACATCAGCTTTGATAGCCTTGCAAGAAGCGGAAGTGTGAAGGTCGCCACAGGCAACATACACTGGACGCAAGGTACAGTATGTTCTGGTATGCCCAAATTCTTGACAATTTGTGCACTGTACGGGACCGTTTAGTTTGTGCGGCTCCTCCACTGTTACTCTTCGGTGTAGAAGGTATCGTAGGTTGTAGATTGGGTGCACTGCGTTTTTATTCATTGGCTTTGTTTCTAGCTTAAGTTCCACCTTAAACATAGGCTGAGCGATTTTTGCTCTCTTGATAATATTTAACAGCGAATCCTGCCTCCTCTAGAGCATGAGCAATTTCATCAATGGGTCCACTTGATTCTATACTTTTTATTACTACTTGCAGTCCTTTGCTGCTTTTGAGCTGGTACGTATAGAAGTTTTTCTTATCGTCATTAAGGTGTTTGATTACCAACCGGTAATTTTCTTCAGTTAGAATCTGAAGTTTGGTCTCTTTAATGTTGCCCTTGGTAATTGACGTTACGTGGAACGTATTGCCTCCAATAAGCTAGGTTAATTTATTCACGAGCTCACTACAGTTTTGCTCTCGTAAATAAATTGGGGGCGGTTTGGGTTTGGCTTTAGAAACTTCATTCGGCTCTTTGTCACATTCATTGTCCAGAATAGCAAATTTATTTCCCAGGAGAGGGTTAATGTCAGTGGTTTTCGTCTTTGCAATTTTCGATGGATTTGCAATTTTTTGTTGCTGTGGGCTTAATTTTTGTTTGACTTGTATATACTTATCAACACCCGTTTGAGTCAATGTACGGGTTGTTGGATTAAGTAGGTCAACTTGCGCTGAGCTGCGTTGCTGGGTTTGGGCTGGTGCCGAAATTGCCGTTTGTGCAGGTGTGGGTGAACTGCGTTGTGAAACCGCTGTCATTTCTGAGTTCGTGGTTGTAGTCGTTGTTATAAGAGCTGCGCTCACCGTTGTTATTGTGATTATTGCTAAGCTAGTGCTTTGTTGTTGCGTTAGAACAACTTGGTCTATCAGAGACATTGGTGACTGCGCATGCCAAGATGTAATGCACGAGGTTTGGTGGGAGGGAGAGTACGATTTATCGCGATCAGCATTGTTTGTGGGGGAACGAATGAAAAGTAAGCATTTCGTCGACCAGCTGAATGCTTTTGGTCAGCTTCTGTTACGGCAAGGTTTATTTCCCTGCACTTGGTGCTTGTTTCTTTATTCGGTAAGCGCGGTGCGGGCGGAGCTGCTTTTATTTTATTGTATGTTGGCACATTTACTTGAATTTCTCGCGGCATTGCGAAAATTCAGGAAAAGTAATTTATAATTATAGGCAAATAAGCAAAAAGCTTACTTATGCCTAGTATTGGCTTTTCGCGTTGGTTCTGTTTTTTTTTTCTTTCTTATTCTTCTTCTTTTTTGGCGCTGTAACCGCCTAAGCGATTTTGGCCGAGTTCAGCAAAGCACGCCAGTCGTTTCTCCTCTGTGCCAACTGACGCCAATTGGAAACGCCAAGTGAAGCCAAGTCCTTCTCCACCTGATCTTTCCATCGCAGTGGGGGCCTCCCTCTTCCTCTGCTACCACCAACGTGTTTCGAGTTGAATACTTTCAGAGATGGAGCGTCGGTGTCCATTCGAACGACATGGCGAAGCCAGCGGAGGCGCTGTATTTTCATTCGCTGCACTATGTCCATGTCGTTGTAAAGCTCATACAGCTCATCGTCTGCGTCGCCAACGCGTGAAGGCCAGTAAATCTTTCGCAAAATCTTTCTGTCAAACACTCCAAGATCCGCCTCATCGGATGTTGTCATTCTCCATGCTTCTGCGCCATATACCAGCACGGGCATGATGAGTGACTTATAGAGCGTGGTTTTCGTACGTCGAGAGAGGACTTTACTCCTGAATTGCCTACTCAGTCCAAAGTATCACTTGTTGTCAAGAGTAATTCTGCGTTGGATTTCAATGCTGACATTATTATCGCTGTTATTGCTGGTTCCCAATTAAACGAAATTCTCTACTTTCTGGAAATTGTAACTGTCAACAGTGACGTGGGTGCTAAGGTGTGAATGTGCTGTCTGTTTGTTTGATGACAGGAGATACTTCGTCTTTTCCTCGTTTATCACCAGACCAATTCGCTTTGCTTCCCTATCCAACTTGGAAAAGGCAGAACAGACTTCGCGGTTTTTGTTGCCGATGATGTCGATGTCATCGGCATAGGCCAGCAATTGCACGTTCTTTTAGTAAATTGTTCCTGAGCGGTTCAGTTCTGCAGCTCTTATTATCTTCTCCAACATCAGATTAAAGAAGTCACATGAAAGGAGTCGCCCTGTCTGAAACGCCGTTTTGTGGCGAACGGCTCGGAGAGGTCTTTCGCAATTCTGACGGAGCTGGTGGTATTGCACAACTCCATTTTAGACAGCCGTATGAGTTTTGAGGGGATGCCAAATTCAGACATAGCGGCGTATAGGCAGCTCATTTTAGTGCTGTCAAAAGCGGCTATAAAGTCGACAAATAGGTGGTGAGTGTCGATCCTTTTCTCGCGGGTCTTTTCCAAAATTTGGCGTATTGTGAATACCTGGTCTATGGTGGATTTTCCAGGTCTAAAGCCACACTGATAAGGCCCAATCAGTTTATTGACGGTGGGTTTCAGTCTTTCACACAACACGCTCGATAAGACCTTGTAACCTATGCTTAGAAGGCTGATCCCGCGGTAGTTGGCGCGAATGGCGGGGTCACCTTTCTTGTGGATTGGGCAGAGCACACTTAAATTCCAGTCGTCGGGCATGCGTTCATCTGACCATATTCTGCACAAGAGGTGATGCATGCACCTTATCAACTCCTCGCCGCCATACTTGAATAGCTCAGCTGGCAGGCTGTCAGCTCTAGCGGCTTTGGTGTTTTTCAGCCGCGTTATTGCTATACGTACCTCGTCATAGTCAGGCGGTGGAACGTCGACTCCGTCATCATCGACTGCAGGCTCGGATTCTTCTTCTCCGCAACTTTCCGTGCTGCTACCATTTAGTAGGATGGAAAAGTGTTCCCTCCATAATTTAAGTACGCTCTGAACATCAGTTACTAGGTGGCCATTATTGTTCTTACAGGAGTACGCCCCGGTCATTAAACCTTCCGTAAGTCGCCTAACTCTCTGGTAAAATTTTCGGGCAATCTTCCTGTCGGCCAGCATTTCAAGCTCTTTGCACTCACGTATTTCAGCCTCTCTCTTCTTATTGCGGCAAATACGTCTCGCCTTCCTCTTCAGATCCCTATAGCGGTCCCACATAGCGCGCGTTGCGCCCGATCGCAGCGTGGCCCTGTAGGCGGCATCTTTTTTCTCTGCAGCTTTTACATATTTTGAAGGAAACGATGGATTCTATTCCATTTGCAATTATAGCAGCAGAGTAAGAGCGCGCTATGGAAGTGCATTCACAAAGATATGCAGGGCTGTCGGGCATAGTGACTATGGACGCATCTATGTCAGCTTCTGGTTTAATTGTTAAACCGCAACTTGCTATGCCTGAAGAATTGGTTACTGCAATAACAGCATCTTCCAAGCCATTGAAAAGATGCTCTTTGTTGGATCCACCACCTGTTGCGCTTGGTTCTGCCTTCGGACGCGCTTAGGGATTATAACCCTTACTAAGTATAATTCTCCTTTCTGTGTTGCCGGAGAAGTGGTGGAATCCGTATGTCAAAGGCATACAACATTTCTTGTGCATATAACTCCGGCTCCGCCATCCACAGTATTTTTGCACAGAACCCACATCGAAATTTATAAAAAAAAGTGCATAGTGCAAACCGAATTTATTAAAAAACTATTGCTCGGAAATTTGAAACATTTATTTTAAATTAAAGTTTAATTTGTATGTAAAAGTAGATTCGGGTTATGCGTTTGGACACAACAACCGAAAATGATTGTACAAATAATTAAACCGGACCCAAGTTTCTCGATAAGGGCAACATAGATTTTTTTTGTTCATTTATATAAAGCAGTTGATAAAAATATACGTATATACGAAAGGCAAATTTATCAGCAGGGAACGGATTTTATGGAAATTGCCTTTTTTTCTGCTAAAGAAATAGAGTATATTCGATTAAGAATGTCCACGATTTAGCTTTCCTTGATTCCATATATACACATTTGATGTTGCCTTTTTTGCCTTTTATAAGATATTTGCTTTTTTTTGCCTTTTTTTAAGATATTTGCCTTTTCTAACTTTAAAAAAGTGATTATAGCATTTACAATTTTTTTTTAAAGATTAAAAAATATACACATGCCTATGCGGCTTATAGAAGCGCAGGGACCTCTTGCCAAATTGGTGTTGGAAAAATTGGTGTGGATAAAATTGTAAAGGGCGAGGAAAACGCCCTTATTCCAGATAATATGAACGTTTCAAACGTTCTATATTTAAATTGGGCGCCGCTTGTATCAACTTACGTTGAGAGCATATTTAGTACATTCAAGGCTTTTCTTCGCGAAAATCGAATGAAAATGCTGCCAGAAAGATTCAAAATGCATCTTGTGGTTCAATGTTACTACAACTATACAGATTAAAGTTTTAAGAGTTAGAAACTCAAAAGGATAAAATAGTCAAAGATTCACGGTACAAATTTTTCATATAATAAAAAGTTCATAGTTTTTCTCTTTTTACTTGTAATATAAACATTTCTAAAATTAATGTATTTTTTGATTGTTCTTCGTATTTTCTGTCTTTTTTTAGTGCCTTATTTTGCTTTTTTTGCAATACCTAGTGCCTTTTCCGGCCTTTTTCGCTATTTTGTTTTGCCTTTTTTTGCAATATCCAGTGCCTTTTTCTGCCATTTTCGCTATTTTATTTTGCCTTTTCCAGCCTATTTCGTTATTTGATTTTGCCTTTTTTATAGGTTTTTAGGTCCTAAAAATCCGTTCCCCGGTTATCTGTTTACAGGAACGCCAAAAATATTTCCTGAAAACACACATCGATTTACGTCTTTTATCTCACCTCCGACACAGAATTGTTTTCGTACAAAATTACGCAAAAAAGCTTTCTCGTTCGTTTTTGGGTATGCCATTGTTACGAATTTCGAAAGTTCGAAAATACAATTCGGATTGCAGCATACTATTTCTTCGATTCGTAGCAAAATCCTAATACAAAAGAATTGCAGAATAGGGGTGTTATTCATTATGAATGGACATTTTTCGTTTAACAGCATCGCGGGATAGAAAAAAACGATTTAATCCACCCGTTCCGAAATGGTCTAAAGACACAGTTTTAAATATCCGAGTGATATATATAATTGATGAATACATATGTATCTCCCTTTTAAAAACTCATTTATATATACTTTACTCTAAACAACTCTCATATATATGTATGTCTTCATACCAAATTTCCAGTTCATGTGAATTATTGTTCCCAATTTTTGGCTGATTAAAAATGCCACGCCTATGCTCCACGTTCCCTTTTAAAAACCCATGTATACAAACTTTACTATAAGCAAAGAACATAGATAACAAGAAGGGACAACTCGTTATAATTGTAGCGAAAGCGCGCAACAGGGGCGTGCCTTCTCTTTTGCCGTAGTGCGTTTTCTGATTGGATGAAAAGAGAAGGCACGACCCTGTTGCTCACTTTCGCCACAATTATAACGAGTTGACCCTTCTTGTTATCTACGTTCTTTGCTATACGCACCTACCATGGATATGTATTCATACCAAAGTTCATTATATTCACGCCTGTGGAATGTGCCACGCCCCTTTCAAAAACTAATTTATATATACCTTACTATAAGACCCTACCATAGATACATCTGCATACTAAATTTCAACTTCATGTGACACATGGTTCCGGAGTTATAGCTGTTAAAAATTTCCACGACTATGAGATGTGCCACGCCCCCCCTTTATAAAACCATTTATATATACCTTACTATAGGCCCCTGCTGAAGGTATGTCTTCACTCCAAATTTTAAGTTGATGTGACTTATGGTCCGAAGTTATAGTTTGTAAAATACTCCACGCCTATGGGATGTGCCGCGCATCTTTTTATAAACTCATTT